AAGACGATGGACTCAACTGGGATGGTATAGATGAACCAACCACCATATCTCAGATCACTAAAGTAGAAAAACAGAATAATCTAGCTATAAATGTCTTTGGACACGAAGACGACACAACAATAATACACAGGCTCAGCTCGTTGGTGGGGAAACGTGTTATCAATATATTCATGATCCAACGAGGTGAAAAGTATCACTACACGTGGATAAAACATTTCAATCGGTTGTTGCACGATCAGTCGAAACACAATGGGAAAAAACACTTTTGTATGCGATGTCTGCACGGTTTCAGCCGAGCTGATTTATTAGAATCCCACCAGGAGTATTGTCAAGGTGTGGGACAGACGGCTATACGCATCGACATGCCCGAGGAAGGTGACAATATCCTAAAATTCTACAACCACAAGCACCAAATGTCTGTTCCTTATATCATATACGCCGACTTTGAAGCCTTGGTCAAACCAATTAAGGTTGTTGGGGATACCCCCACAGGTGAGAGCTTCACATACAAAACACAAGAGCATGAAGCATGTGGATTTGGATACATAGTCGTCCGTTGTGACGGTGAAACGAAATCTCCCGTGGTGTACAGGGGTCCTGACGCGGTTGAAAGGTTTCTAAAGTGTTTGAAGGAGGAAGAAGAAATTATTAGGGAAAAGTTGCATAGAATCGCTCCCATGCGTATGACCCAAGCCGACAGGTTAGCTCACTCCCGTAGCATTAACTGTCACGTGTGTGACTCACCACTGAACGGTGATTCGGTGAGAGATCACTGTCACATAACCGGTAAGTATAGAGGCGCCGCTCATAACGAGTGTAACCTCAAGCTTAGAATCAACCCTAAGACAATAAACATTCCCGTTGTCTTTCACAACTTGAGAGGGTACGACTCTCACTTAATCATGCAGGCCATCGCGAAAATCGATGGTAATATAACGTGCATCCCCAACAACATGGAGAAATATCTCTTTCAGCTTAGACGGACTTAGGTTCATTGACTCGTGTCAATTTCTATTGTCGTCATTAGCCAGCCTGATCAAAGCCAACGATACCTTCCCTATCACCGATCGATACACAGACGCCGAGACTAGATCTCTGCTTATGAGGAAGGGTGTGTATCCCTATGAGTACATGGATAGTTGGACTAAGTTCGCCGAGACCAGACTACCTCCCATCAGAGAATTTTACAGCAATCTGACAGACTCGGAAATATCCGAAGACGATTACTCGTACGCTATTAATGTATGGAATAAACTTGGTTGTAAAAACCTGGGTGACTATCACGATCTGTACTTGAAGATGGATGTACTACTATTAGCCGACGTGTTTGAGACATTTAGGAGGACATGTATCAAGCAGTATAAACTAGATCCAGCATGGTATTACACCAGCCCAGGCCTGTCGTGGGATGCCTTGCTTAAAAAGACCGGAGTTAAGTTGGAATTGTTTACTGATTATGACATGCACCTGTTCATTGAGAAAGGTTTGCGAGGTGGGATCTCCATGGCAACCAAACGATACGCTAAAGCAAATAATCAATACGTGAATGGCTACGACCCTAGCAAACCAACCAATCACATTCTCTATCTCGACGCAAATAACCTGTACGGATGGGCCATGAGTCAGTATCTACCAACAGGGGGATTCAAATGGGTATCATCCGATTTCGATATTATGAGCATCGCGCCGGATTCGAACAAAGGTTATATCCTCGAGGTTGACTTGGAGTATCCCAAAGCATTACACGAATCACACAACAGCTATCCGCTAGCTCCCGAACGTATGAGGGTTAACCCAGACTGGATGTCTGAATACCAACATAACTTGTTAGATAGGCGGGTGACGGGCGTTGAAAAACTCGTGCCTAACTTAATGAATAAGACCAAATACATAGTTCACTATCGCAACCTGCAGCTGTACCTGTCGTTGGGTATGAAACTGACCAAAATACACAGGGTGCTCGTGTTCAACCAGAGCCCCTGGATGGAGCCTTACATCAGAATGAACACGGACCTCCGAAAGCTGGCCACCAGTGACTTTTTGAGAAAACTTGTATAAGCTCATGAACAACTCGGTATTCGGTAAGACGATGGAGAACCTGAGGAAACGCGTGGGACGTGAAGCTGGTTCGGTCGAATGAGGAGGAAAAACTCAGGAAGCTGATCGCTAACCCTGCATTCAACCGTAGTAAGATATTCGATAACGACCTGGCTGCCATACACATGAAGAAAAGTCACATAATATTAAACCGGCCTGTTTACGTTGGGATGAGCATCCTCGATTTATCCAAACACCTGATGTATGACTTTTATTACAACGAGCTGAAGAAACAGTACGATGACAGGTGTGAAGTGCTGTACACTGACACGGATTCCCTGCTGATGGAGATTCGAACCGAGGACGTGTACGAGGACATGAAAAAACACCTCGATTTGTACGACACCAGCGACTATCCCAAGGACCATGCCATACACAGCACGGTGAATAAAAAGGTCCTAGGTAAGATGAAGGACGAGTGTGCTGGCACGCCCATAGTCGAGTACATAGGATTGAGGCCTAAGATGTACTCCATACTGAAGGTCGACAATGGTGAGATCCGGAAAGCTAAGGGTGTTAAGAAGTACGTGGTGAAACAACACATCAAACACGCCAGATTCAAGGAAGCTCTGTTCAAGACCCGTACCTTTAAACATAAAATGAACACACTTAGAAGTGATGGGCATAGGATATACGGGTTGACTATAAATAAAACATCATTATCCCCTATGGATACCAAACGTTGGATAGCCATTGATGGGATAAACACGTACGCGTACGGGCATGAGAAAATTGAACCAAGAACATAGGTATAAATAAATAGTGACATGTCACGGAACCAGAAAAAGTTTGAGGCTATTTACTACAGTCCGCGTGGATATTGGAAAGGAGCTAGCGCTGTAGATAAGCTATCTAAAATAACTCGAGTATCCCCGGAGGAGGTCAAAACATGGCTTGAAAAAACAAGCACTTTGGCAGATATATTTACCACCACCACGCTATGTGCCTAGAAGGAAGTTTGGTATTAATATAACTAATAACGTTCACCAAGCAGACCTACTGTTCCTACCTCACGACAGGGTGAGACGTAAAACCTACAAGTATGCCCTGACTATCGTGGATGTAGCCAGCCGGTATAAGGAAGCTGAACCATTGACCACGAAAGATTCTGCCCAGGTAGCTCAAGAGGATTCGAACGTATATACAAACGCAGTCCGCTGACGTGGCCAACAGAGCTCCAAGTTGACCCTGGTCGGAGTTCATGGGTGTTGTGTCACAGTTGCTGACTAAGCACGATAGTACGAGTGAGGCGTGGCACGGTTGGAGCCCATCGCAGTCAAGCTATAGTAGAGAGAGATTTAATAGGACTTTGGCTGAGCGTTTATTCGGGTATCAGTACGCGAGAGAAATGAGCAACCCGGAAACCGAACGACTGAATGGGTCGCGCGGCTCCCTAAGGTGGTGTCGGCAATCAACCATGAAATCACACACGACTCACTGGTAAGAAACCGGCAGACGCTATCAAATTAAAATCAGTGATGGCTCAGAACCGGCTGCTCCATTGCGTGGGAAGGAGAAACAGATACCAGATAGATCCCTAGTGAGGTATCTATACCAGCCCGGGGGAACACGAAGGGGATACTCGAAACGAGCTACTGATCCTATATGGTCAGTCAAAACTTACAACATAGATAAAGTGGACATCAAAGCCGACGAACCTAACTTGTACTACTTGATGGATGGGCCAGGGAGAGGGTTTGTAAGAGAAGAATTATTGATCGTACCGTATGGTACAGTATTACCTCCCGTCAACACGACATAGAGGTAAGATACCGGTGGAGTTCGTATCCCACCGTTTCGTGTGATAGAGACACACCCCTTGGGGAATACATTTCTTTGGGAATTGGGACATTTTGCTTGAAAAGTCTTATTTTATGAAATAAAGCTCTGTAGTAGATGGTAATGGAAGGGTCCAACTAAGGCTTTATCTATTAAATGAAGCTTTAGATTACCCTGATCCAGGATGCAAATCGCTGTTATTGGTTTGTATTACAAGGGGTAAGCTCAGTAGTTGGAACGGTGAAACAAATGCACGTGCGGTACGTGATAAGCGTTAACTTAATTAGACCAACCCTTCTCGGTGTTTCATTTAATGTGCATATCCCCTGGTAATACAATCCATGTATGAATCTATGATCTTTTGAAACAATTTTTATCCTAAGTTGAATAAAATTCTGAGACATAAATGTTCAATTGGCAAGATAAAATTATGAGGACTCGCAATCTTAATTTCACTTTATTCGACACCGACACACAGAACACCAGGCATCAGTGTACAAACTTGACCGAAGATCAATTAGTTGCGGTCACATCAGCAAGAAACAAGACAACGCCATCATGCCGGAAGCCACTGAAATCCTGTCTACAAACAATGTTCAACCACTGGTGTCAACGGAACCTACTAAAGCCACAGCCATCAGAAGATTACAATTCAGCGTAAGTTAACTACTGGCTCCCCTTATTAGGAATGAGCTTGCTTGGTGAAAGGGCTGTTACGAACAGCCTTCGAGGTAGTCTGAGATATATAAGGTAAGGTGACTAATACTGAATGACAAAGCATTTTATTTATTGACAGTAATCACCATTAACTCCGACATTCAAAGCAGTAACAACGATGAACAAGCAATACGGACAATCTGTTACATAGTTTACAACGTGCGTGGCGTGGGTTGTATTTGGTGAAACCTGTCGTGTAGTTTTTATTTATGAAATAAACAGTAATGAAATGAATTTTTCATTGGATCTACATCCAAAAAGGGATAATCAGGAAATATATATTCATTATAATATCATCTATGCCACATAAAGTAGATGTCATTTGAGGACATTGTTTTATGTTGCACTTGTCATTTTTTCGCTGCTGGCTAAGCGTGGCACGTCACAGGGTTTAGCCAGAGAAGGATATTTATATCTCTGCAATATCCAGCAATGGTAGAGTCAGTCACAACGGAAGATAAATCTGGGTTAACCAGCAGCAAAAAGACAAAGAAGAGGCTTCTTTTGGTAGTGATTGCTGCGTCAAACTTCTGCGTCCTGTGCTGTGTCTCGCTCATTGCACCGTTCTACGCAATAGAGGTATATCCACAAAATATAGTAAATGTTTACGTTTGATGTAAAACGATTGCCGATGGTACTGCTGTTATGTCAACTGTTTTAAATGCTGATACGTTTCACTATTCAATCGGAATAACTTCGGAATCATAATAACAAAATGTGAATTTACAGATAATACTTGGACATTAGAATGCTTCTTACTTCATGAAGGTGATTTGAACATAAGAAAAGATTGTAACTGGACGTCTCTGACGAACTGACCGTGATACAAACACGTTAAATTATGTTCCTTTACATTTCCCAGGCTGCCAAAAAGGGCGTGGGTGAAACCGTCATCGGGGTCATCTATGGCTGCTCTGAATTTGTCATTTTTCTGACATCGCCCATTATTGGATACCTGGTAAGTTATATATTACACAGCGTTATGCACGTATAAGACAAAATATATATTATGGATGTCAACTTCTTCTTTGTTGTATACACAACGTTTCAGGACTTTTCCTTGCCCCTTCGTCAGGAAAAGCCCTGAAACGTTGTGTATACAATAAACAGGAAGTTGACATCCATAATATTTTGTCTTATACGTGAATACCAACTTCTATATGCCTCTCAAGAACCTCAAAGCTATGCACAATACTCTAAATTTATGTAATATTTCTATATTCGGAAATCGTCATATGAACGAAATATTCTCAAGCACGACGTTAAACCCAATTTCACCTATATTCGGAAACATAATCATCGTTCGTTTGTACTGCTATTTTGATGACGGCATCTGTTGAATGACCATTTTCATTGTTTTCTTCAGCTGTCCAAGTTCAGTCCACGCTCCTTCTATATTGTTGGACTCTGGATGTTTGGCATTTGTGAAGTACTGTTCGGGTAAATTTGGTACTAGAATATGTTGAGTGTTGTTTCCATTTAATCATTGTTGATTGTCATACGGTTTATCACGAGATCAGTGGAAACCTTCCATAACGGGAAAACCTTCATATCTCACGTTGAGATTCAAAATTAAATAGATCCTCTTGCTGGTAGTAAGACAGATGAGGTGTTCACTTGGAATCAATAAACAAATACCATGCAGTCATGTCATGTTACTGCAGGAAAGACAGGCTACTATACCGGAGGTAGACCGTAGTCACCAGAAGTGGACATATGTTGGAACTATTCAATAAGAAGTACGTATTAAAATGGAATGGAACAAAAATTCGTTAATTCAGTATATTTACGTTAACCCATGTAACATTTTGCAGATGGATGAACCGGCTTCCTGCAGGTCCCTTGTTTGTTGTTCCTTGTCTAGTTCTTAGAACAGTAGAAGCCTTGGGAACGGCAGCAGTTCTGACATCGAGTTTTGCGATTGTTGGACACACGTTTCCCGAAACCGTCGTTTCCGTATATGTAAGCTGCTGTTTTGATGCACTTGTGTCTATATGTCATTTTTAATTTCGCTGTTGAAGGCATGATGGGGTTATTTGCGCGTATATCGCATTGGTAATCGGTTCACTCCTAAAGCGGTACCTAAATGCTATAAAGCAGCAATTATAAACCAGCATACCAAAACATCTCACCACTGTAAGCAGGCATATGATTTCTATGAAAGATGTTGGTTTGTGAACACTGAGAATGTCTGTGTCAAGAGCATTTTTCACTATTCTTCATATTGTTGTCTGGAGTCTTATATTGTTATGAGAGTGGGTTTTTTTTGTAATGTGTAATATCATTGATTAAGTGATAGTTATTATGGGTCACAATGTTTAAAGTTTTGAGTGTGGGCTGTGGCTCGCATCTCGCATCATGTATGTTCAATGGCAATATTATTGTTAGCGTACGCCTTTTTGATAGCGCTTCAGAGTTGCCTCCTTTGGCAATCTTATTTACGACTTTGATCATGTCGTGTGTTCGGCGGATTTCGCGAAAGTTCTGAGTGGATAATGATACAGCCCAGCTTTGCTAGAATGCTCGAGAACTGTGTAAGAGCTATATAAAGGCTGGTTGTTGTGTTGTGCAACACGGAATAACATCAAACCTTTCATATGACTGAAATTATACACATCTGTCTGCCACCGTTAATCAACATCGTCAAGACTTAACGTGCCTGCCTATTCGTCTACTGTCATTGTAAACAACTTTCAATCAGTATATCTGCTCACACTGTAAATGTCAAGACTGTGGTGAGTTAATATTTTATATTTGTGACCCAATATTATAGATTTGTGACTCAATTGCATTGTACTAGATATCTGATTTGTCATTCATTCTAGCTAGCTCATTGTTTGTTCAATATATTATTGAATATTTTAGACTTGTCTGTGTTTTATTTTGCTGGTTCAAAGGGGACTCTTAAACCTTTTGTCGCGACAATTTATTAACCGTACAAATATTGAATTACTAAAGGATGATATTATGATTACTAATCAAAAGGTGTATTTTTCTGCAATACGTTTGATAGGGGAGTGTCAGCATAAGATTTAAAAGAATCTTTTTACTGACATGCTGATGGAAATTATCACATAACCCAAAATGCATTGCCGTGAATAAACTTGTATAATACAAATAAAACTGTGTGTTACTGATATTCTGTGTAGGAGGATAATTCGTGTTTGCATGATTGTATAGGCATTCTTTTGCGGTTGTATCTTATCATAGCGATTAAGACAATGGGATAATGCGAGAAATACCATTAGATTTTTCCTTTGTTCGTGAATATATACTAATTTTATACTCTGAACAAAGTTCTACCCTAATCTCCTCAGGGCATACTGGAGACGGTGGTTAGCCTCGGGTTTATGGCTGGACCAGCAATTGGAGGAGGACTCTATCAGGTATTAGTTTGGACATTTTATATAAAGCGGCAAACCCTTTCTATGAATAATATTACATATGACGGCAAAGTCTTAGTAATGCGCAACGTGCTTTCATCTTACAGTTAGGAGGGTATGGACTTCCCTTCTGGGCCCTTGGTACATGTACAGTTTTCTTTGGATGTGTCTCCTATGCTCTTCTCCCTACTCTGGACCGTACGTAACACAAATATATTGTGCAATGCATGAAATCAAGAAATATTTCACCCCAAGTGTAATATTCAGGTTCAATGTCCACGAAACAACGCAGTACAATTAGTTAACATACACAAGAAACATATATGAACCATTTAAAAATCTGTAAGATTCTCTTATTATTTTTCAGTAATTATAACATAACACGTCACAATTTAAATCTGGACTCACAAAAGTCCAGAAACTCTCTGTACTGTGGGCACTTTCTGACAAGGGATTTGACCAAATTAAACATGCAGTTGTTATGAATATATGCAAAGGATGAAAAAATGAAAAAAACTTTCAATTTAAACTCGCTCGCCCATGGGCGAACAGTGGCCCATGGGCGAGAATGTTTAATTTCGCTCAGACTTCATGTTTTGGAGGTTGTAAATGAATGAGTGTATGTTTAAAAGCATCATAACACAAATTTCAACTCATTTGGACTTAATTCGACTAACTAAGAGTGATATTAAAAAATCTCGCCCATGGGCGAAAAATATGTTGGCCCATGAGCGAGAATATTTACTTTTACTCAAAATACATGTTTTTCCATGTTTTGGAGGTTGTAAATGAATGAGTGTATACTTATGTATATCATGACACAAAATTCAATTCATTTTGACTTTATTCAGCTAATTTAGAGCGATATAAAAAAATCTCGTTCATGGGCGAAAAATATGTTCGCCCATGGGTGAGAATATTTACTTTTACTCAAAATACATGTTTTTCCATGTTTTGGAGGTAGCAAATAAATGAGTTCATACCTATGAGTATCTTGAAACAAAATTCAACTCGTTTTGACTTAATTCAGCTAATTTAGAGCGATATTAAAAAATCTCGCCCATGGGCGAAACATTTGTTGGCCCATGAGCGAGAATATTTACTTTTACTCAAAATACATGTTTTTCCATGTTTTGAACGTTGTAAATGAATGAGTGTATACTTATGAGTATCATGAAACAAAATTTAACTCATTTTGACTTAATTCAGCTAATTTAGAGCGATATAAAAAAATCTCGTTCATGGGCGAAAAATATGTTCGCCCATGGGTGAGAATATTTACTTTTACTCAAAATACATGTTTTTCCATGTTTTGGAGGTTGTAAATGAATGAGTGTATACTTATGAGTATCATAACACAAATTTCAACTCATTTGGACTTAATTCGACTAACTAAGAGTGATATTAAAAAATCTCGCCCATGGGCGAAAAATATGTTGGCCCATGAGCGAGGATATTTACTTTTACTCAAAATACATGTTTTTCCATGTTTTGAACGTTGTAAATGAATGAGTGTATACTTATGAGTATCATGAAACAAAATTTAACTCATTTTGACTTAATTCAGCTAATTTAGAGCGATATTAAAAAATCTCGCCCATGGGCGAAACATATGTTTGCCCATGAGCGAGGATATTTACTTTTACTCAAAATACATGTTTTTCCATGTTTTGAACGTTGTAAATGAATGAAAGTATGTTCATAAGTATCATGACACAAATTTCAATTCATTTTGACTTAATTCGGCTAATTTAGAGTGGTACTGAAAAAACTCGCCCATGAGCGAGAAACATTTTGGCCCATGGGAGCGAATATTTACTTTTACTCAAAATACATTTTTTCCAGGTTTTGGAGGTTGTAAATGAATGAGTGTATGTTTATAAATATCATGACAAAAATTATATCGTTATGACTTATTAGGACTTATTTAGAGCGTTATTTAAACAATCTCGCCCATGGGCGAAACGACATTTGGCCCATGGGCGAGAATCTTTACATTTGCTCAAAATACATGTTGTTTTCGTGTTTTGAAGGTAGCAAATGAATGAAAGTACGTTTTTAAGTATCATGATACAATCTTTTGACTTAATTCGGATAATTTAGAGCTCTATAACAGATATATCGGCCATGGGCTAAAATATTTCCTTTTACTCAAAACTCAGTAATAACTGTCAGTCGACAATGGGCGAAACAGTTTGACCCACTGGCAAGCTAACTTAATTTAACAATTAATTTGTTTTGGTTTGCGAAAAACAACACTTGACAAAATTATTTCTACTATTCATGAAAACAGAATGCGAATTGCTTCATTTTATCTGTGAAACCCGTGAAGGTGCGGGTTAAAATTGGCCTCCAGTAACCCATGCTTATCGTAAGAGGCGACTAACGGGATCGGGTGGTCAGGCTCGCTGACTTGGTTGACACATGTCATCGGTTCCCAATTGCGCAGATCGATGCTCATGCTGTTGATCACTTGATTGTCTGGTCCAGACTCGATTATTTACAGACCGCCGACTTGGTGGACACATGTCATCGGTTCCCAATTGCGCAGAACCCGTGAAGATCCGGGTTAGAATTGATCTTCAGTAACCCATGCTTGTCGTAAGAGGCGACTAACGGGATCGGGAGGTCAGGCTCGCTGACTTGGTTGACACATGTCATCGGTTCCCAATTGCGCAGATCGATGCTCATGCTGTTGATCACTTGATTGTCTTGTCCAGACTCGATTATTTACAGACCGCCGCCATATAGCTGGAATATTGCTGAGTGTGGCGTAAAACTAAACTCACTCGCTCACTCACTCCAAACTGTGAAAAAGGAACACCTCCAGCTACCAACAATGTCAACAAGAACATAATGGAGTCACTGCATCAATACATCTTCAAGACTAAACGAATTGATAAATTATTCTAGACCAATATCTGTACACAAATAATGAAATGTAACTGCAAGTTCAAGGTTTCTAAGCACGTACAATGCACATTTATCCTACCTCATGTAAGAATGTCCATCTCTGATTGATTCACGTGACCTTGAACAAATTACCATGTATGCGGGTGCACGGCCGTACACTGCTTGGGTGGTGTAGTACAAAATTATCAGGCAGTCTATATAGTATGACCAGAAATTATTGAGAATTTTAGGAATATGTTTAATTGGATTTCTAGTATAAACAACCTTGATCAGCTATCAAGAGCTTGGTTTCATTCAAGAGGGACAACTCCGTTAATCCTTTTCATTAGTTTGTGAAGAGTTATCCCCTTTTGTTTAATTGCTAGCAGACGACCTTTTAGTGATCCTCAGTACGGATGATTTAGAAAAGAGGAAGTTGATTTTAGAGTATTTTAACAAGGACATCAGATCAGCTAAAGTGATTTCAAGTAGAGCAGGCATCCCTTTGTCCACTGTTAATCGTGTTTTGAAAAATATTGCAAATGGATATGGAAAATTGACTGTCGGTGACAGGAGGTGGCTTGGTATTCTTGTTTCTAAAAACAAACGAAGGGGTTTAGAAAACTTAAGGCTGGATATGATTGATAGAGGAACTGTGGCTGTCTGTAAGGAGACAATTAGAACTGAGCTGCATGCAATGGGTTGGCTGAAAAGTCGAGGAATTCCATCACCGATCATGAAACCTGAACAAAAGGAGCGAAGGTTGAACTGGTGCTTACAGCATATAAATTTGAACTGGGACAATGTGATTTTCTCAGATGAAAGTTCTGTGTGGCTGTTTCCTAATACACTGAAATTCTGGACCAAACAAACTGAAAAAGCTTTGTATCAGCGCCCAAAGTACAGTCCGAAATTTAACGTGTGGGATATCTGTGTTAGGGGCAACGCCCCTCTGTGTATTTGAAGGGAATATGAACAGTGCGCGGTACACATAGATTACTTCCATCTGCTCACGTGTTCTATGGACATTTTGGGATTTTCCAGCAGGACAACGACCCCAAACATCGTTCAAAGCATTCACAGGCCTGGTTTCGGACCCAAAATATGACATTATTAGATTGGCTAAGCTATAGCCCTGACCTAAATCCAATAGAAAATGTTTGGGGACTTATGAAGGAAAGTGCCAATAAGAAAAATCTGACAAATATTGCTGAAATGAAAGAAGTGGTGGTCCGATATTACTTCTTTGATCAGTAGTATGCCCCGCTGCATTGAAGCCTGCATTGCTGCCCATGGTGACTTGACAAAATACTAACAGTTCACCTGTCTTTAAATCTGGAGTTATGTTCTGCTAATATTCACATTTAATACGTGAGTAATGAGTGAAAAAAAAAAAAAATTACAATCTTTCAATTCTCAATAATTTCTGGTTGTACTGTATCATTTATACCTGGTGCTGGTCGGTTGTCAGACAGACAGACAGACAGATAGACAGATTTTATTGACGCAAGCCACATGGGCCTCTGGCCATACATACAATACAATATAGATAATATTTATGCTGGATGGTGAGGATGACATTATTAATAAATTAAAAGTTGTTTCTTACACGGAATGCGTCATACACATATCTACCTAGAGAGCGTTGAGTATTATTTTTTGATGATAATTATTGTATACATTTATAAACTGAATAGTGTTTACAATAATATTTCTTTTAATGAATAGATCTAGGTGGGTGTACGATGGACACTTGAGTAAAAAGTGAAATTCGTCTTCTATGTGACAGTTAGTACAAATTCTTTCATCCCGTGGGATTTTATTTCTACCATGTCTACCAGTTTCAATTAATAATGTATGATGATAATCTTAATTTACATAATGCAGACCTGTGGTTACAATTTAAAACATTAACTAAATACATTTCAAAGCCAAATTTTACCTTAAATTGTTTCAATAACATATAAGTAGTACATGCATCCACGGCAGTCAGTGAACCGTGAAGCAGTGGTTCAAATCGACTAGTCAGTACCATGTTAGTGAAATATATGACTGAATTTCAGCTTGTTTTGATGCTATATTTACATGAAGAGAGATTTAAGATATTTTTACCTAAGGTTATGTATTTATATGGTTTTATAAAAAAATCTTGCTATGATGTATATTTTGACCCTCTAGATAACAGTGTCTCATAAGCCTGTTAAGGCTGGATGTATTTAAAACATTATGTGTTTATTTTATATGTGTTTTATATCTTGTTTACGTACTTTGGCCACTTTAATAAACTATGTCTGTCTGTGTGTCTTTAAACATTCGTTAAGATAAATTCTGTGTACTATTGTGATGCGGGGTATACGGGGATTTTTGCTTCCCGTTTTATCCACCTAGCCGAGTGAGTGAGTGAGTGAGTTTAGTTTTACGTCGCTTTTAGCAATATTCCAGCAACATCACGGCGGGGGGACACCAGAAATGGGCTTCACACATTGTACCCTTGTGGGGATTCGAACCCGGGTCTTCGGCTTGTCCACCTAGCCGAAGGCGTCAGTGACAGTTTGCTACGACATATGATAGGAATTAATTTGACGGTTTTGTGTATCCAGTTCTTGTGTATTCTGTTATATTATATATGTACTGGTGAGGTATTAACAAAAGCAATTATTTGCTTGTTTACCAAACCAGATTCTCTGAGAATATAAATATGTTTAAACCATATGTTCAAAATTGAAATACTTTATGAACATGCACACAATAGCTAAATTAAAAGGCACATCTTGCCAAACAAGGTTTTCAAGAGCATATACACATAAATGTCAATGTCTTTTACAGACTATTATATGCACGTCTTGAGAAAGGTCAAAGTTCCTACTCCTATCTCAGTGAACAGGGTTGTTCAATCACACATATATACATGTACACACCAATTTTGCATGACAAATAAGTTAATGCACAAAAGAGAATTTAACAAAAGGTTGAAATTCAAGATTATTCATGTTCATATCTTGGTATATAAGGTTTTGCAATGCATCACCAATGTAAACAACAATATATTTACACCCTAATTTCACATAACAAAGGAAGTTTATACACATAACAAAAGTCTTGGTCCTGATAGAGTGAGTAACCCCAAACAGAATTCCAATTGGTCAGCTCGACACCTTATAAAACAATCAATTTGAGATTTCCTTAGAATGTGCGATATTTGTCTGTGCGTTATGCGCAGTCAGTAGTTTTCAACAAAACACCCTCACGAGCACCTGTATATCTCACACCTAGCCCAGTGTGATCAATGGATTGTATATATGGAAAGCAAACTACACTTGAAAGTCGTGGCTGTTTAAGTCCAATACACAAGACCAACACAGGAGCTTTGCGGAAATTAAATAACTTATTTATCCTAGGCGAATTTGTCAAACTTCCGTCAACTTTTTTTCAAGTAAAATATTTGCTCTTAAAATGTATTAATGTTCATTTTAAGATTGTTTGTAAACACTTTAATTGATGTATCATTTAGTCATCTTGTTGTACATTTTATATTTTCAATACAACTGATAGCTCATGACAGGTAATTAATGGCAGATGGTCGGATTGGGATGTGCTGATAGTTATAACCCGGGAAAGCCACTTTTAAGAAAACAAGAGTTGAAAATGGTGTGGCTCAACCGGAAATGGGTATGGTTGAGTGATCGTGTGAATGTGGGTCTCTCGGCAATGCATTATTAGCTAATCCATGTTACCGTAAAAAATGCAGATTTTTTTAATATCGCTCTAAATTAGCCGAATTAAGTCAAAATGAGTTGATATTTTGTGGCATGATACTTATAAACACACACTCATTCATTTACAACCTTTTAAACTTGGAAATCATGTATTTTGAGTAAAACTAAATATTCTCGCCCATGGGCGAGATTTTTTAATAATGTTTAATATTTTTTCAATTTTTAATCCTTAGCATATATTCATAACAACTGCATGTTTAATTTTGTCGAATCCCTTGTCAGAAAGTGTCCACAGTGCCGAGAGTTTCTGGACTTTTGTGAATCCAGATTTAAATTGTGACGTGTTACATAAAACATACTACCATTAAAAATAAACATCTTTCGTTTAGCGCTGTGTAATGTAACTTTTATTCTTCTATATTTCTCTCACATAAAGCGTTAGACATGTAGCCTCACGATGTGTGCACCTATGTGTATCAATTACAAATGATTATATTTGCTCAAAGTGAGCGAGTAAAGTAACCTACTTACTAAACCATACTTCTATCCATGTGGTACTGTCAGATGATTGTGTTGATCCCATACCTACACTCATGTGCCATATCAAAGTTCACAAAATGGCCGCTATGATTCTTGCCAGTAGTAGCTGGTTCTTTTAAATGAAAGTTTATTTCATCTTAGCAATAGTTATGGGGTATGAAATTTTATGGGGTACAAATTTGACTTAACACCTGTTCGATTTTGTAAATAAACAAAAGGGGAATAACTCTCAAGTGCTTAGTATGACGTCTGTTCAAAGTGTCATGGCACCTAGAGGGAAAGATCTTACTGCCTATCAGAAAAGGCTCATATTAAGTTTGAAGTCAGAAGGCAAGAGCGGAAGTGTAATAGGTAAAATAACTGGAATTAATAGGTTTACTGTCTGTAAATTTCTGAAGAGGTTTTCTCAAGGAAAAGAAGAAGTGGCAGGAGAAGAAAATCAGCTGACAGAGATACTAGGGTTTTATTGAAGATTGTTAAGTGTACAGGAGGAAGTCTCTTCAGGATATATCTTCACTTTGGAACCAGACATCTCAAGTAAGGCTATCCAAGAGGACAATACAAAGGTGTCTTCATGAAAATGGTTTTCATAGAAGAGTTATGAAGAAGAAAATTACCATAACCTGTCAAAACAGGTTCAAGAGAAGAGCCTTTGCCAGAACACATTTGAGATGGAATGTAAATAGAGATTGGTCTAGGGTAATATTTTCAGAGAATCCCGTTGTTGTAGGAAAAGATCAGAAAGTTTGTGTTTGGAGGACTAATGAAGAAAAGTGGAAACCCCGGTGCCTTGGTGTGTATAGGGATAAAAATGCCCCACGTCTCCGTGTGATGTTCTGGGGGTGTATTTGTTTTGAAGGTGTTGGAACGCTTGTCGATGTAGATGGTCATATCAACTCTACAAAGTATATAGATATACTGGACAGCAACCTTTGGCCAGTAATAGCCAGCATATCGGGGCTATATATTTCCAGAGAACATTTGTCCTGTCCATGTGTCTAGACAGACAATTCAATGGAAACGTGACAATGACATTCACTCAATGAATTGGCCTCCTCAGTCCCCAGACTGTAATATCACTGAAACTGTATGGAGAACTCTGAAAGTCAGGCTACAAAGACAGTTACATGAAGAAGGAAGCAGGATCTGATAGATCACGTTCAATGTATCTGGACATCACTTACTCCAGAGTACATAAAATCACTGTATTCTACTCTACCTAGGCGAATGAGGGCTGTACTTGCAGTAAATGGCTGTATTACTACATATTGAAAATATCGGGTAAGTGGCTTCAGGCACTATTGTGAAATCAAACTTTATTTACATACCATCACAGTAAGCGAAAATGACATGGCGGCCATTTTGGGAACTTCAATAGGCACATGAGTGTACATCTTACAAGAGCAGCACAATTTCAAACTTTGAACTGTTCCCCATTTGACTCGAACATTAACTTATACTTCCATGTATTTGCAGACGTTGAGTCGACGAAGAACTCAAGTTTACCGCTTCTACGTTCCCCGGAAGTTTGGTTTGGTATATGCAGTATATTTGTTGCTCTCTTTGCCACTGTTATCATGCACCCCGTGTATGCGGAGCATCTTGGGCAGGTAAACGTTGTTTGTTTTGTTTTGTTTCTTTTCTGTTGTTTGTTTAACGCCGCACTCAGCAATATTCTAGCTATCTGGCGGCGGTAAACTTAACACAGATAAAATACATATACGTTTAAAACATATTATACTTCGTTGTGAGTTATCGTAATATTTTCCTCGATGTTATAAAGCATTTTTATGTGGGACAGATAATACTTTTCAACACAGATAAAAGTATACTGATGTTCATATTAAAGCATTCTTGGAGGTCCGCTGTTGAAATTAAATCAGTTTACTTAACAAATTACTACTCATTTGTTTTCAGTTCAACCTGACCCAAAGTGAGATTGGCTTTGCTTTTGCAGCATGCCCGGCTGCCTTTTCAGTCTCGTCAATGACCTGTGGATACCTTCTGGAAAACTGTGTGCGTACATTAAGAAGATAGCACTGTACATATTTAGTGAGTGAGCGAGTTATTATTTAACGTCACATCGGCAATATTTCAGCCATATCGTGACGAGAACACTTGACACTGAAATAGAATATATAGAGAGATTATAAAACCTGCCGACAAAGGACAGTAAAGCACTGTACATTTATAGTCAGATACAAATTCGTTAAAATAACACGAGGAACAGCTAAGCTTTTACCTCTGAGGCCCATCCTATTTATCGACCATGACCTTTATCAAACAGAAAAACACGTAATGTGATATTGTGTAATACCTTCAAACATTGGATCAACCATTAGATTTTAAAAGAAGCTTTAGTTCCCAAGCTTACTCACTTCTGGTAACTGAAGCAGCCCACTCCCTACCAGATATCATACCAGCGATAAAAGGTGAGGTGAGGTGAAATTGGGTTTTACGTCGTGCTTGAGAATATTTCACTCATATGACGACATGCATGCGTGTATATGTGTATGTGCGGCTGCTTGTACTAGTCCAGACTTAAGCTGGTTTTATAGTGCTAGCCCACTAATATACCATGCCGCAGTGAAGCATGAATACCCCACTCAGACACATTATACTGACTCCGAGCCGACCAGTCCTTGTTGTACCCATTAATGCCGAGCGTCAGGCAGGGACCAACAAGTACCATATTTTAACGTCTTTTGGTATGACGCGGTCGGGGATCGAACCCGCGACCTTCCGCTCTCCGGGCGGACGCTGTAACCACTACACCACAGAGGCGGTCTCCAGCGATAAAAAGACCATATATGCGCAACATTATGTGTCAGTACATATTGGTAACTTAAGCCTATATTTGTTATAGCTACTTTGTTTATAATTCAAGGTCTTATAGGTCATTTTTCGATGATGTCATATTGGCCTCAATTGAGTTACATGAAATCGTCAGGTACTACTCAGAAAGACAGTACATCAGAAAGACCGTTGTGTGCTTGTTATCGGGCATCTGACCTTAACATAGCTAAACAAATATATATATTATAAACTGTAAAAATGTGTTTGAATTGTATGCTCGTGGCAATATTATTATTTCAGGACGAGTGTTTTAAAAGTTGTGTTGAGCTTGTTCAAGATAAAGATTCCTCATTTGCGCTACCATTCGGGTACGCCATACTGGTTGAAAAGTGAGTGAATGATTTAATGCTTAACGTCACATCGGCAATATTTCAGACGTATCGTGGCGAGAATTAAGGTTTTGACTTAAAACTAGCATGTTATCATACAAATATATCTCTATGGTCGTAGAGGCCCATTGGGGGAGGTTAGAGTCGTCGACTTGGATCAACAAAATTCAGTGTCAGGTGATGCCAAGGACCGCTGCTCTCATATTTTATCACCCATTTGTCTGGCAGAGACTTGAACACGTGGCATAGCAGGATCAGTGCTGACAGCGGCGTAAAAGTACATTCCGTCACTGCATTACCTCGACATTGTACCCGTGAAGATCCGGGTTAGACTTTGTCTTCAGCAAACCATGCTCGGCGACTATCGGGATCGGGTGGACAGACTCGCTGACTTGGTTGACACATGTCACTGTATCCCAGTTGTGTAGATAGATGTTCATGCTGTTGATCACTGGATTGTCTGGTCCAGACTCGATTATTTACAGGCCGCTGCCATGTAGCCGAAATATTGCTGAGTGCGGTGTTAAACAACAAACCACCCAAAAACCTCGACATTGCGACATGGGTTCCTGTTCCCAGTGTACTAGACTTAACACTGGACACAATACAATATGTACGTACCGTCTATGAACAGTCATACAATTTTCAGTCCTTAACGGGGCATATTAAAAAAATGGTAAACGTTTAAGATCTTACTAGTTTACAGTTGTATATATATATATTCAGGGACTAAGGGTTAGTTGCTTGAACATTTCCAAATCAATTAATATTACAAATGTCAGAAATGCACTAACAAGAAGACATATAGTTGTGTCTCATAATTGATGATTGGTTCATCACAACCGATCAATCATCGAAAATAATTGGTTATCGTCATTTATCAAATTTTCCTGTTTATGTTTGTTAATGCACAAGAAATTAAAAAACACATAATTCTTTCGAGTTTTTGCAAATTGCACAAAATGCATTTGCAAATTTTACATTTTTGGATGACTAGTATGCTAGGAACCTAAAGCTCCTGGAGTCTTTAAGATAAATTCAATCCTGACTTGGAACGAGCTGGTTGTGCTAATGAAATGTGACAGACAAAACCAACCTTGTGAAAAATATTGTTAAAGCAAAATACATGTTCCAAAATTGTTTGTGTTCGATTATGAGAAAACATGATCGATTGCTTGGTCGTTTAGTTCGCGACCAATCTTGTAATTATTTCAATTAATCGAACCACCACTAGTTTACAGTGTGTGCTGTAACTGGAATATTTTCACCTCATTTAAATGTATTCAACATCTTGAGTGTACTTGTACGTAAATTAAATTGTCATAACCCCTATTTTCGAATATTTTAACTGCAGAATAATGTATGTTATTCCCCTTTCAGGCACCAGCCGTTCCGGTGTTGGTTGCTGGCATGATTTGTGGAGCAATTATATATTTGTTTCTTGGACCAGCTCCCTTCATATGTGTATCAAGGTAGTTTACTTGAATATACTGGTATGATGACCAAAGCAGGATTCACTTGCAATAGCATCCCTATCGCCACCACAACCTGGAGCCTAGGTTGACGCATGGAAGTTAGATCACCTGAGAATGCTTTGTGCAAGTGGACAATTAAAATTGACATCAATGACATTTGAACAGCCCTGTCTTAAGATAAGCCCCCCCTCCCCCCCTTAGGAGAAGCTGGAACAACTCCTGTAGTACCACATGAAGAATATTTAATCCCCGAGAACAATTTATGGACGTATCGATCGGTTGGAGTCAATGTAGTTTCCACGTTAGTAGCCTGCACCAATTTTGGTTTACCCCTTACACGAAACAAGTTTGGTGAGAATGAAGAAATCGTCAGTAAAATGAAGGTCGACCTCACTGTGGAGATCCTTCGGACAAAATTTTCATTTTCACTAAAATGCGCCTTTCTGCAAATATCCTCGCCTTCATTTGCATTATTACTTGAATATTTGGCAGGTCAAAGATATTCCACCTGGTGCGCAACATATCGTTATTCAGAAAATATTAATAGTGCAGTGTAGTGAGTAGTGATTGAAGTGGATGATTTTCTAAAAGTGATAAAGAATTATGTGGCTCAATAACATCTTTTCTACTTGAACAGCACATTGTGGTTAAGTGTACTGACTGTAGGGCTCGTTGGATTGTGCACGGCTCCAATCGTTGTCAGCTCGATCAAATACATCTTCGCACAAGCAAGGTGAGACACAGCAATACCAGATAAATGAACATCATGATTTTGTTTGATGGTTTCTTGAATCATTGTGTTATGATGTTATACAAAACCTGAACATAAGAAAAATTGCTCCTTTCTTTATGTAAATTTTTTTGGAACAACTTTCCTGTTTTAGACGCCTAGGATACAGTGAAAGCAATGCTACTTTCGGCATGATTTCGGGCACAATTCACGCCGCTAACTATCTAGGGTACGTATAGTATATTTTTCTGGGATAATCAAGAATGATCTGAATTACGATTGCATCCAAATGGGATAATACGATCTTGACACATGTAACTGAGAAAGTGTAATCCCAAATATTGCATTTGACCACTTTCTAAATGACATTGTGTATTCATAGATCTTGACACAGATTGTCAGTACGAATATGCATGTAGTACACTTGTCGAGTCATGAAACACCGTGTGATGCTTCCACCATCCTTGTGGCAATATTAAAGCTTCATTACAGCAAGGGAGTGAGTGAGTGAATTTAGTTTTACGCCGCAATCAGCAATATTCCAGCACGAACATCGATCTACGCAATTGGGATAGGATGACATGTGTCAACCCAGTCAGCGAGCCTGGCCACCCAAGCCCGTTTGTCGCCCGATCCCACTAGTCGCCTCTGACGACAAGCATGGGTTACTAAAGATCAATTCTAACCCGGACCTTCACGGGTCTCATTACAGCATGGGATGCTAACAATGGGGTTCAACAAAACAACTATTTAGGAATTCATCTCTGGCTGTTTGCATCGTAGCCTCTGATGTAACATACGCACATATTCAGATCCTTTTCCCGTATTTTTGAATGTTGACAGAAATACGATAAGTGTTTTAGGTGCAATCCCTAGTTACATATTTGTGACAAATCGTTTCTCCTTTTCAGAACGTTTACTGGTCCTCTAGTCGGCGGTGTCCTCACAGAACACTTCGGGTTCGCTTGGGCAATGACATCTTGCATTCCTGTACTCATGCTTCCGGTGAGGATGTCGACATGAACGTCGGCATATTGTTTTATTTAAGCTGAACCATTTAATAGTTTTAGAAACTAAGGACAAAGGTTATTTTAAAAATAACAAAACAAATAAGCGAGTCAGAAATGTTTATGTTATTAATAAACTTTGAAAGCAGCTTTTGACGACAGATTTGCCCTTTAATGGTATACCTGTCTCACTCGTTGTTTCAGTTACTCTTGTTTGGACCATTGCTGTTGTTCAGGTGGAGGAATCTGTCCACTCAACCACCTCAATATAACAAGAATTACACAATATTGGAAGGTCAAAACACAGCGAACGGTGACATCCGATGATAACGTTATGCCCACAGTCCATATCTAACCGTAATACCCGCAGTGCATATCTAGTTATAATGCCCACAGTCCATATCTAGCCGTAATACCCGCAGTGCATTTCTAGCCGTAATACCCGCAGTGCATATCTAACCATAATGCCCACAGTCCATATCTATCTGTAATACCCGCAGTGCATATCTAGCCGTAATACCCGCAGTGCATATCTAGCCGTAATACCCACCGTCCATATCTAACCGTAATACCCGCAGTGCATATCAAGCTATAATGTCCACAGTCCATATCTAGCCGTAATGCCCACAGTCCATATCTTTCAAACTCAAATTGATTTCTTGCTATTTGCTCAGTCATTTCCATGCATCTATTTCCATGACAACCCAAATTACTCTTGGGGTAAATCTTGCTCCCGTCGAACTGCGAGAGGTCAAGAGTGTCGGCAACAACATCTGGCAGGACCTCAACAGGAGCGTCATCATCAGGCACGGCATGTAGTGTGAACATCAGCAGGCACACCGAGAGCGGCGTCTGGCATAATATCAGCAGCATAGTTGGTGTCAATAAATCTCTCTAGGTCTTCGTTCACGGCTTGTGATATGCAGAGGAGACCAGCCCACAGCGCGGGTTTTTTTTCAGAGCTTGGTAAGAAGACATCTTAATGGTGTCATGATACGTATTCAAGGACCATTGGACAAAGCGAGAGCCAAGGCTCCTCCTTCTGCTTATTGTCACACATCCAGGCCATCAGTCGTTCCAGTCGCCGCTACTCCACCCCGGCGCTGTGGATGTCGGGGACATGCTTTCGCTAACACAAGATCTGGCCACAGAGATCAGAGTTCGTGTATGATCCGAGCAGTGAACTCTTCCGTTGATTGGAGACTCTGAGGTGCTCCAATGTCCAGAAATGTGGGTACAGGTTCATGAGCGACTACAGCTGTGTCTTTGTCTTGTGATATTCGTGATAATGTGGAATGAATCGTAGCTGCCATCCTTCGACTTGAGCGCTCTCATTTAAATCCCTTGCAGATAGAGGTTTCACAACCACTCCTGAAGCTGTCTCCTTCCTACTACGTTTCTCGACACATATCCCTGACACACATACCGACTGATATAAGATGATGCCAGGCTTTGATATCAAAACAATATTCTATATCTCACTGTCCAGTGTATTCTGTATCTCACTGTCCAGTGTATGCAAAGGGGCAAGTTGTACTGCACATTGCACGCACTGGGCAAACGTACTTTTTGATCAGTACAACAGCATTCAAGGTATTAGTAGAACCCCCAAAGTTGTTTAATTCCTTTAGAAAACATTCAGGCCATACATGTAATATCAAATATCATGAACAACCTGTGGCAAATATATTTCCAATGACCCGTGAAGATCAGGGGTAGAAGAGGTCTTCAGCAACCCATTCTTGTCATAAAAGGCGACTATGCTTGTCGTAAAAGGCGACTAACGGGATCGGGTGGTCAGGCTCGCTGACTTGGTTGACACATGTCATCGGTTCCCAATTGCGCAGATCGATGCTCATGCTGTTGATCACTGGATTGTCTGGTCCAGACTCGATTATTTACAGACCGCCGCCATATAGCTGGAATATTGCTGAGTGTGGCGTAAAACTCACTCACTCACTCACTATATTTCCAATGTTACTTACTGTTGGTATTTTGTATATATGTGAGACACTCTTCCCACCTTTGTGATATGTCTGTTTGAGTTATTAATATGCATAAAATTCACGATCTTTAAGTTTGGTGAATATTCGTATTTATCCAGAGGACATTTAGTTCGTTTGTTCATTCATTCAACAAATTTAACACACTGTAACTGCAAATTTTAATCAACCATTTCGTTGTACACGCTTCGTTCCTTTGCCTAAACGTTTTTACGATTATGACTTTGTCAGTCGTTATCCCTATCTATAATCCTTGACTGTTGGTGTAATGTTGTATCTCATATGCAGCCATGAGCATTTCTCTGGCTGGTGCTTGCTTCTGTACCGACACGTTGTAAATATAGAAGTTGAAACCACTCCTTTCTTCGTTAATACTACATCCGGTGTCATGAGTTAGATTTTATGACAGTGTGTCCATAGTTCAGCGTGAAAGTATTTGATTCCAATACCGACCTTCACTTTTCTGCTCATGTTGATCTTCTTATAATCAGATAATCAGTTCAATTCAAAATAATCTTATTTGTTTAGAGTCATCGACTTCACTCCTATTCCACAATCCGATCAACAAGAATGGCACGAATGACATGCTCTGGAAAACGAATTAAATGACATGATCACTGAGTGAATGAACTGAGTCGTGACGTGACATGAGCATGGCAATATTGTGTCAAATATGCTTCATATTAAAAATTTGTGTCATTAACTCTTCATGATATATACTATGGTCATGTTTACAATAAGACATGACGTCATCGCACATAGACATCCGAAATGTTGAACAGGTAATCCACCCCCAGTCGGTCCTTAGAAATTTCCATATAAACAAATTAGTATTTAGTTTCTATTGAATTCTTTGACATATGCATTTTACCTTCGGTTTGATGTTTAATTACCATCTTATGCCAGGCACGTAGCAAACCAATGTTTTCGTGTAAGCCCGATAGGTTGCAAAGCTTTATATTTAGATGTATTGAGGACTTGCCCAACCTTTTTAGCTGTAATCATGTGTAAGCCCGGGCTTTTTTATAATGGTATCTACGTCCCTGATGACTCAGTTGAGAATCACACACTGTCTGGTATGTGTTCGTTCTGGATGTTGAAAAGTCTGTGTTTACAATTTCCATGCCTCTGTTCATTATATCAGGAAACGTGATCTACTATTAGCAAACGCCTCCAACCTTATAATCAGGCTGAATTTTCTCGCAGGTGAAATTCATCTCTCTTTCTCTATACACTTGGAATATTCAAAATAACTTTCAGCCAATGATACTTAGTCTCTTTGTATTGTGGCAATTCCAAATGACCAATGAACCTAGCTGTAGCAAATTAGGAGCCATGTGACTATGTGGTTAATCCGAAATAACTGTCCCGCTTTAATGCGGAAATCGCGTTTTCTATAAATCTCTAATTAAAACACATGCTGTGTTTTTGCTGATCAAAAACGTTAATGACGGATACACTTTCAATTCAAAACAATTGTACACGTAATAGGCCACACTTGTACTGGTTCAGTGCTTAATACCGAATTGCAGAATCGGAAAATCCATTCCAGTTTAGTAGCACACATTATGATTTTTTACTACACGTGTGTCACTATTTTATAGAGGGAATCGTCAGGTCACGTGATTCAAAATGACGCCGCTGATATGCGAATGATCGACTGAGAAATTTGATGTCAAATATTATCTCATACAGTACTATCCATGTACAGTTTGCGTTACTATATAACTAATAATATGTGTAATCTTAGATACCGTATTACCTGGTGATCATAATTTGCTGAAGACCAATTCTAACCCGGATCTTCAAGAGTCATAGCAGAAATGAAATTGCATAATGCTAATTATACAGTTCTTTGTATAACTTGTGTATAGGTGCATTGACCTGGTTAAACCGCACATCTTAGAGAGTTTGCCACGACTGTATCCAGGTAGGGTCTCCTGGAATCACAGAAAGCGGAAGTCATCACCTTGAGCAATCATTTCATTCATCCATGGAGTTAGATACTTTCATTCCTTTGACTGTTTTCTGGACCCCAGTTGCGAGTGGCGACACCAACACCAGCTGTCTCTGCTTTAAAACGTCGCATACTATTGCGAAAGATGATGAAATCTTTTCAGATCAGAAATCAGAAGCCTTTGAACCCAGCATGCTGACACCTTTTTCATACCATCCCAGAAACTGCCTTCTTTATCTATATCACGTGTTAAACCCCCCAAAATCCTAGTTTCTACCATTGCCATTTCAAATCTATAGAATCAGACAGAGATTTTTCGAAGTGATACACAGTTAACTATTATATAATATCATTGTATATATCTGACATATTGTATACTTAACCGCAAAAGAAACGACACCTTTCAAAACCTAATGCACACATTTGTTCCATTTGTGCCTAAGGCCACTTCATTCCATGTACAGACGATGCAAAACCGTCATCGATGCCCATGGTTGCCACACACGATACTGACTATGAGGTATCCTAATGATACCATTTTTGGTGATTTTGTTTGTGTGAACTCCCGAAAATATTTTAACCATAATTGTCAAGTTTGAACTCAATCCTCCGTTTTGATTGTTAATTAGAGCGAATAAAGTGGGTGCTTTAAGAAACCTCTATCGGTGTGGCGTTTCTTTTGCGGTTTAGTATATATGCAGATGTTATTGGTGTGGGACGTTTTAAAACTCGAAGGGCTATCACAGTGACCAAAATGGTGAGGGTTTCATGGTGTCACGGTGTGTAGAAATGCCAAGCCAAGAATGGTGTAGTGTTAGGAAAAAGGTAACACGTAGACTCTGATATAGACTGTTTGGGCGGTTGAGTCAGGAAGATGATATATACATGTAGCAACATATACCAGCAACACGTTTCAATTCCCATTCAGTGGTTTGCATGTTTCTCGAAAATAAGTGTATATTTATTTAAAAAACAAAGTGTTTTCATAACTCAACATCTGTCGCATACAAATGAAATTCATACATCATTTGGAACAGACGCAACCGATTTTGTTAACAGTGTCATATACATGAAAACATCTGTTCAATGACAAGTTTGTCTGATTCTCATGACAAAAGTCTATTTGTGCAAGGTCGATAAACACAATTAATACTACCAGACTATTTCGTCCATGGTTGGAGCTAAATATCTATATCTTTGGGTGTAAGGGAAGGATATGTTTAACATGTTTTTCAAATATGGTTTCTGTAGGTTACTCACGTTGATTGTTACCGGTATCCAGTTTTGATTATAATCAAAACAGAATAGCGTATTTACATTATTTAGGGAAAAATATCGCAACACTATGCAACCTATATTTAACTGGATAAATTAATTAAAATGAAACTGTAAAAGCAAAAAGAACGATAAAGTAAAAATGGCAAAACATTGATTCATTCCGCAGTGTTGATAATTTGGGTCGTGTGACGTTATAAAACTTTCCG